TACCTTGTAACAGTACTGCGCAATGTTATGGCATATGCTTCTCACTACTCCCAAACGAGTCTCATGTGCTCAGAAACAGTGCCTTCCCTGTGACCCTTCGCACGGGAACCCTCACCCCCACTCCTCCTCTCCACGCCAGGCTTACTTACTTACTCTGAGGAGGCTTCTAACAAAAGCTCATCTGGATGCAAATCTCTGTACTAATCAAACTACCAAGTAACTAAAAATGTAAAGTAACAGGACCACACAGTTCCCTTGATTACACACAAAACACTCCTGAGGAAAAAGGGCTCAATCTTCCTTCACATCCCACTGATACAGTGTACTACATGGAACATGGAGAGCACAGAAAGGTAAGGACCACACAGAAGGAGGCCAGGCTCTGGGTCTAAGCCCCAATACTGTGAGCTGCACACTCCTGTCCAAGTTGCTTTGTTTCTCTGGGCCTCAGTTTCTCGCCTATTCCACCTTGCCAAATAGTGCACAATTCAATAAAAATTCATAAGCCACAATTCAAATAATGTACAAGAGTTCTCTGAATTGTTCCACTGACACCTAAAATTATTCATTTTAGATAAATCCGTGTTACATATATGGAATTTAAAAGAACAGAAACTGTCAGACTAAATGAAAAGCATTGTGTATTTTTTTAAAGGTAGTTTATGTGACTCTCTTTGGGGCTGAGAATTCCATTATTATCACTGTTACTGATTACTGAATCAAATCCATAACCCACTATCTGAGCCTAACCTGTCCACATGACTGCATACCATCTCCTCATACAGAACATGGCGCAAGGACACTACGCTCCTCCACTGTTCTGGCTCTGTCCCAAAATTACTCTCCTCTTTCCAAAAGGGGCCTCCAAGCCTCCACTTTCTTCACAGCCTTCTCCCCAGCTCAACCATCTAAGCTTGTTAAATCCCATTCCTTGCTACTTTACTATATGCTACTTTGTGAGGACTTTGAGGCAGTTACTGTACATGTGACCCAAGTCTCATTCATAAGTCTTCTAAGAGTTCAACATCTTTACTGTCAAGTTATCCTACAGCTTTCTGTCTACATTAAACATAAATGTTTACAAATGAATTTAAAAATTGCTGACCAGAGGGCCAGGGAGATAGCTCAGTAGAATAAGCCCTTGCCTGGCAAGCTCAAGGGCCTGAGTTAAATCCCTGGTTTTCAAAAAAAAGAAAAAAAAAGTTGCCAACCAAATGATCAAAAAAAAAAAAAGGAAGAAGAAGAAGGTCAAGAAGTCCTAAGTTAAAGTGGCGGGGGGAGATGGCTCAGTAGAATAAGCGCTTGCCAGGCAAGCACAAGGGCCTGAGTTCAATCCCTGGTTCTGCCCCCCAAAAAAGAGCTAAAGGTAGAGGGCAATACAGAATAAAAAGGAAAGTTTGAGGACAGGCAAGAGCCACGCAATGGGAAATGGGGAAAAAGAGAAAGACAGAAATTTAGAAAATGTCAGCAGGCCACAGGTGAGAGCAAGCCAGAAGAGCCCAGGCAGCAACAGTGAGCAATCCAAGAGCACCTGGCTGAACACATATGCCCAGAAAGAGAAAACAAAAGGAAAAAAAGGAGAGGTGGGGAGAGATAATCCTCCAAAGGACTCAGGAAGACTACAGAAAACATGAACAGTGAGCAGATGAGAGAGAAATGTTTATGTGTATCTAGAGCTAGAGTTCAGGAAAAACACTGGGATGCAAAGAAATGTATAACACTTCCAAGTGTAAAGGTTTGGGTAAATGACCCAAACTTTCTGCAACTCTTTATGCAGCTCTCAAATGAAAATAACTTTAAACCTTTTCATAAGACTACTCTGCGTGTACCATATAAATGAGGTGCCAAATGTTGCTTTTCACATAAAAACAGGATAGCCTGGAAACATAACTCATTAGTAGAGTGATGGCTGAGCAATAATGTATAAGGCCGAGGTAAATTCCAGGCTTTTTTCAGGGGGTGGGAATACATGACTCAACTGAACATGTAACTTTTTAAGCTAAAGCACAAAAAATTACCCAGTATGGTTTTTATACTGAAATAGTTTGCTGATATGGAGATAGAGGGCCAGCGAGATAGCTCAGTGGACTAAGTGCCTGCTTAGGCAAGCCCGGGGCCCAAGGTTCCATACCCAGTACCACATGCTGCACTGGCCCCCAACCCCAGGCACACTGAGCCAGCAACAAAGTCCTGGCGTGGTGATGTATACCTGTAATCCCAGTGGTGGGGAGGCTGAAGACAGGATCACTACAAGTCAGACCTGAGTAGTGAGACCCTGTACAAATAAATAAATATAGATAGATAGATAGATAGATAGATAGATAGAAAAAAAAAATGAAAACAATCTACTAACAACTATAAAACTCTTGAAAACTGCCATCTAGGCTGGGCATGGTGGTTCATGCCTGTAATCTCAGCCTGAGCTCTGAGAGGCTGAAGCAGGATTGCAAAATCAAGTCAGCTCTAAGTGAATGAGACCCTGTTAAGATTTAAAAAAGAAGGGTCAACCAGATAATTTAGCAAATTAAAGCACCTGCTTAGGCAGAGCACATCAGCCGGGTTCAATCCCCAGCCTACTGTGCTGGCCCCGCCCTTGGGGCTTACTGAGATGGTGATTGATACTGGGCGTGGTGGCCCATGCCTGTAATCCCAGCACTTGGGAGGCTGAAAACAGGAGAGTTACTACCAGTCTCATCTAAGTAGTGAGACCCTATAGATGCTATCCTAAATGCATTTTTAAAAATTTTAAAAAGAATGAAAATAAGAACTATGTACATGTTTTCATAATAAAATGACAATCCAGATTTTTAGTACTTGTATTTAATTTGCATGTCTTTGAGGAACAAAATTATGGCATGTGTTACCATTTGTACATAGATGTCCTCCTGAAGCCTCATGCACTAATAGACTAGGCTTCTTGGAGGTGGTTCAATCTAGGGTGTGTGCTTCTGGGATCAAGGACGTGATGCTAGGATTGATTCACTAGTGCTAGGATTAAAAGTTTGCCTGGAAAACTATAAAAACCAGAAAGGCTTGTTGCTGGTTGTTTGCTTGCTGCTTTGGCCATCTTGTGCCTGCCACGAACTATCTCTGTGATGCCCCTCTGTAGGGAAGCCAGTTGAGTATGAGTTGAAACCTCTACAAACTTTTGAGAAGTGGTGA